CAGAAACTTCCTGAGCTTGGTCTTTACCAGCAAGATTTCTATCAGCCTTCTGGTCTTCTCTGACTAGAATCTCCCATATAGAACAGCCCAAGGCATTCCAGCTCTGTTTTTTCAGCTGGCATCTCTGAACCTTTCCAAACACTTCCCACAAGCCATTCCCAAAGGTTTTTGAACCACATGGTCAGGTATAGTCACAGCAACAACCCCACTCCTGGTACCAAATTCTGTTTTAGTTACTTTTCTTGAGTTGCTGAGACAAAATACCTGACACTCAAGATTAAAGGGAGAAAGGTTTATTTAGCTGACAGTTTGTTCCAGTCCATAATCAGCTGGCTCCAAGGCAGGGTGGCACATGGCAGAGAGACAACAGTTCATGGTGGCAGAAGACAGCAAAAATGAGAGAGAGAGAGAGAGAGAGAGAGAGAGAGAGAGAAGAGAGAGAGAGAGAGAGAGAAGAGCCTCTTTCTGCACCTTTCATTTTAACCAGGCTGCTGGGATTAGGGTGGTGCCAATCCAATCAGTGGATTGATCCCAGTAATCACCCACCCTTAATCCCAGCACCCTTAATCCTAGCATTGAACCATGAATCAGTTCTAAACTCTAGATTCAGCTTCCTCTGAAAAAAACCCCATTTAAAAGTGCATGAGGCTTTGGGGGGACACCTAGACACAAACCATAACACACACACACACACACACACACACACACACACACACACACACACACATGATCTCAATCTCACCAGGCCCTGAGATGAAGTAGGAGTCTCTGACAGGGAAGGGATTTAAGGTCAGGGCCTGAGAAGATGATTGAGTTCCTTGGTGTGCTCAGAGCCTGCAAATGGAGGGTTTCTGGAAGCCATCACTCTCATGGCTGTTGTCACCAGGGGATGAAGACTGCCATCTCCTCTCTGTGCAGGATCCCTGCTAACAACCTCTGTGTCCCCTTTTGCCCATGGGGAAAAGGCCACATGTTGGTTTCAAAGTCCATTTTCCAATTTGATCTCCCAGATGCTTTATGGTCCTTTCTGTCTGCTCCATCTCCACCCCATTTTCTGGCCTTCCTGTTTCTGCAGCTTTCTCTTGGAATGTCCCCCAACACTACCTGTTGCATTTATCCCATCCTCTAAGACCAAACCAGGTGCCAACCCCCCACACAGCCCTCTCCTCACCAAGTGGAAGTGCCCTCCCCTCCCTGGGAGGGTTCTATTTACAATGAATGCCAACATGGTTGCTGGCACAGAACTGTTCCTCAAGAAATGAAAGTTATAACAACCACACCCTGACTGACTCATCCAATCCTCGTCACTGCCATTGTGGGGCTGTCAGCATCCTCACTCCATGGGGGAGAAACCAAAATACAGAGAGGGCAGGAATGTATCCAGGTGAGCACTAGACAAGGGTCTGAGCCTGACCAAAGAGCCCACTTGTGCCCCCAGGTGCGGTAGGACAGGGACCACATCTGCACATTCACCTGCATCACCTATTGCCCAGTGTAGGGCTGGCTCATATAGGGCTGGCCACAGTAGTCACAGCTGTGCCAGGAGTCCTTAGGGCCAAGTCTGGTGGCCAAATGACACCACTCACTGCATGTCTACAGATGTTCCTGTGCATGGAGTGCAAGACCAGGGCGAAAGAGAGGGGGCAGCACATAGTTGCCCACTAGAACACTCACCAGCCAGTCAGTGATGCCCTTGCCTGCTGTGGTGATGACAGGGTGTTGGGGACCTCAGAAAACTGAGGCCTGAGGGGTGGAACAACTCTGGTACAAAGCTTGGGAGACACCAGCACCCAGCCTACCCTTAGAAAACTATAGATCCCCCCCACTCCCCACACAGCCCAGTAACTACAGGCCCCAGCTCTTTGGTGACCTCAGCCCTGGGTGAAGGGCACCCTCTGACAGCATTCTCAGCCCCACGCCCACCCTGCAGCTGGATGGCCAGAGCCCAGGAAGCTGGGAGAGGGTCAGCTGCTGTGGGACATAAACCAGGGCCATCCAAACCAGGTTCTGAGGAGACACATGTTGTCTTTTGTTCCCCACTACCTGAGTTTAATCACTCCCTGAAAGCTGTGAATTTTTTAAGTCACATGGTATTATGGCCTGTATCTAGATGTCCCCCGCAAAGCCTCACGTGGTGGAGCTTTTTTGGAGTGCGGCTGGATCTAGAGTGTGTGATGCTGGAATTGATTCATGGTGCAATGCTAGGCTCAAGGGCATTAGAATTACGGGTGTGAGTGTTACCTGCCCTAAGCAGCCTAGATAAAATATAAGGAATAGAAAGAGCTGTGGTCCTCCCTTGTTGCTTTGCTACCTTCTGCCCACCATGAGCTATTTCTCCTCTGTAATGCCACCTTGCCTTGGAGCCAGCCAATTATGAACTGAAACTTCTACAAATTATGAGCTAAATAAACCTTTCCTCCTTTAACCTTAAATGTTGGGTATTTTGTCTTAGCAATGAGAAAAGCATCTAAAAATACAGACACCAAGTAGGGCTGGAGGGGGCTGCTGAGTGGTTTACTGAGTAGTTTGGGGGTGACAAGGGGTCCCAGAGAGGCAGCCAGCTGAGTAGGGCACTGACCTCAGGAAGGACCAGCACAAAACGATTCTCTAGTGACAGTGCCCTGAGTCTAAGACACTGGGAGCCTGGAATCTCAATGAAGGATACCTGTGCAAAGCTAGGGATTCTCCCCAAATCGCAGGCAGCTTCAAAAGGGGACCATGATGTCAATCTAATAATTTAGTCATGAGATGATTTACTATGAGACAAAACTACCTTCATCTCTGATCCAGAGCCTCCCAAGGACTAGGCTGCTTTGGCTCCCCAAGGATAGGACCATGTCCCCAAGACCAGGCGAGCTGCATTTCCCCATAAGATTAGATCAACCTTGTGACAGGGACAAGGGACCTCCATTAGCTGTGGCAGCTGGCTCTCCCCTCTCACACTAGGGGCTCCTTGATCCATGGTCTCTCCATATAGTCAGTCCCACCTGACACCCCACATAGATGGTAAGGCAGAGACCTGAGGCCACTCATCCCTGGGAGCCTGTGGGACCTGCCTGCTTTGGGCTGGGGAGGGCTAAGGGATGGCCTGAAAGCCGTTCAGCTCCCAGAGTACCTCCTTGTGAGCCGCCCTCCCTGCTCTACCCACTGCCAGTGCTGGGCTGGCCTCTGATGGGTTCCAGCTGACAGCTGGGCCTCCTCCATTCTTATCCCGGGGCATCAGTGTCCTGTAATGACTCCACTGGCTCCACTGGTTCTCCTCAGCCACTCAGGACGAGGACAGCTGGCATTGGCCTGCAGCAGGATGAAGTAAGTGGGCAGCGCTGCCTTTGGGGAGAATGCAGAGCACAAGGGGTGCAGGAGGGGCTGGGGGACAGTGGCTGCTCTGGCCACATGGACATCCAGGGTGGGGCTGCTTGGGGCAGGGTCTCCTCAGCCCGGACAGTAGCCCTGCCATATGTCACCCCACAGTTTGTGCAGCATGGAGCAAGGGAAACTGTAACACTGGACACTGGCTCAGTGAGCAGGACAGCATGGACTCTGGTTCCCAAACACCAGCTCTTGCCCCAGCCCCGTCCTTACCCTGAAAGCTCCCCATTCTTCTCCTCACCCTGGGCACCATGGGCACCTTTATCTCCTGTCCCCCTAGCTTCTTTGCTAAGCAAGGAGCCAAAACAGGCACTAAGATTTGGTTATTTTCCCTGCTTCCAGCCCCTCCCATGGAAGGAGCGGTTCCTGGCAGTCTCCAAAGGTGGATGCAGCAGAGTTGAGTTCCAGCCTCAGACTCTGGTAACAGCATGTGCTGGTCCCGGCTGTTTCCCTGTCCCCAGCAAAGACTCCTAAGCAGTGTGACTCCCGGGGCCACCTTTCCAAGGACCTCTACACCGTATACCCAGGATGTGCCAGTCACGGTGGCCACAGGGCAGTGAGTGACAAAGGACAGGAGGCTTCCATGCCCCCTTGCTCCATCCAAAGTCTCCTGGAAGCTTGAGAGCAGTGTAGGGGCTGGGGGGCCTGGATGTCCACATCTGCTTCACCTCTACCAGGCGCCTCCCCCAACTGCAGAAGTGAGAAGAGCTGTGAACACATGGTCTGGGGTCCTCTGCTGCTCGGAGGGTTCCCAGTAACTTGGGCTCCGCCAACAGGTGCGCTTGCCTGAGGCCTTGGGACAGACAGAGGGACAGTGGACAGATGGATGGATCGACGGAGGGCTGGGGTCCCACAGCTCTGTGCTCACTGGGCCAGGCTGTCACTGTCCTACTCAGTCCTGCAGAGGGGTGACGGTGACAGTCATGACTGTCCCTGCCCTGGTGTGAGGTGTAGTGGGTGCCAGGAGGGTGGCAGCTTCCAGTGGCACTGCAGGGAGCTGATGATCTCCGGAAGTCAACTCTGATCAGTTAGCACTGACAGCCGGCCCCACCCACCACACCCCCACACTCCCACACATGAGAAAGTGGAGGAGGAAGTGCTGGGATCAGCTGGTGCTGCCTGTGGTGGCATAGGCTGCATGGGCACTCACTTACCTGCAAGGGAAAGGAACTGAGGTGTTTCCTAAGCCCTTGGGGCAGCCTGGGGCTTACCCAGCCATGGACTAAGTCAGCTGCAGGTTGTCCCTTAACCGTCCCCAACATGTAGCCCTAATGCTACAGCCCTAATGCTACTCCTCCCGACACTACCCACCAATCACCCTGATCTTTCCAGTTCCCTGAGCTGAAGTGAGTCCCCAGCTCTGCCAGGAAGCGTCCTCTCTTCATGCAGCTCCTGCCTGCAACAGTTCTGGGCATGCGGTAAGCACCAGATATGCCTGCAATCGGTAGAGAATACTGGGATTGCTCAGAGTGACCTCACTGGCCACCACTTCCCTCTCCCATCCTCGCCTCCTGCCCATCCCCCTACAAACACCTCTGCTGACACCAGCTTTTGTCTCCCAAAGCTCCAGGAAGCTGCACACAATAGGACACCCTGCATCCCTCTGAGTCACCACCCCACCCAACCCAGCCTGCCATTCTCAGGGGTTCCCAGACTCCCCATGAGGGGGTCATCCTCCCCAAACCACAGCAGTGATGGTGGGTGGTGAGTCCTTTTCTGGAGAAGAAAACCAGCCCCCTGGCACCCACACACTGGGCTCTTCCCCTGCCACCACTGCTTCTGCAAAGGGGAAACAGATGGTGTGGTTAATCGGGGTGGTGTGGCGGGCTCTACCCTCATGAAGGCTGAGGGTGGGGACAGTGAGTGATTTACAGGGTTGTCAACAGCAGCACCGGGGACAGACGACCCTTTACCTACAACACAGGACATGAGGCTGTGGGCTTGGGCCTTGGGGTCAGTTAGGCGGCAGACGGAAGCCTTCCACTTGTGCCTGACATGGGGAGCTACACCCAGTGATGGTGCCTGGGGGGTCCAGACGCTCACAGCTGGAGAAAGGGGGCTTGAGCTGGGAGGGGACAAGGGGCAGGAGGTGGCAGCCACAGAGGAGGCAAAGGCGCTCAGGACAGGTGGACAGGAGTGGCTGGGGTTGGGAAGTCTCGAGAGGCCTGGCCCAGGCCCAGATCCCCCACAGAGGGGTGTCACACAGACATTCCATCCCCAGGGATCTTGTGCCATGGAGAAGAGAGGCTTAGGAGCCAGGCTGTCAGGGTACCCTGCCAGTCATCAGCTGTGTGAGCCTGCACAGCTACTTCAAATGCTCTGTGCCTCAGTTTCCCCATCTATAAAACAATAGCATCTCCTCTTGAGAACTGCATTCATTAGCGGCCTCAGGGCTGTGTCAGGCATACTGAGTTATATATGCAGGTTAGGTGATCACTGTTTCTAAGGCGAGGGACCCATGCTGGGTCCCTGGGGGACCCCCGCCCCACCCTGTCACCAATCTCCTTGGCACTACCCACCTCACCTCACAGAGCCCCTGAGTAATAGGAGGGCTGAGGCTCTATCCTTACCTGAAGGTGGATGATCCAGTGCGGTTGAGGACGACCATTACTACACACTCTGCCTGACCCTGTTGAGTCTCCACGTTGAGTGTCACTGTCCCATTGTACAGAGGAGAAGGCTGAGGGCAGTGTCACCCCAACAGCAAGCAGACAGGCTGAATCTGAGCTCAGAACTTACTGCCTCTAGAATCTGAGCTCTGACCTCAACACAAAGTGTGACCCTTGACCAACACAGAAGGACCTTTTTAAAATGCAGATCCTCCCCAGACTTAGTGAAACAATTTTGTGCATGGGACCCAAGAGTTCCCTGGAATAAGACAGCCCTGACCCTCCTCCCACCGCACAGCACCTGTCACACACCACGGATCCCCTTGGAAGAGAAGGGAGGTACAATCACCATGAGGCCATGGTTGAGCATGGCTTCTGTGCCCCTTCGGTCCCCAGACCACTCATGCTCTTCCCTGAAACCTGGGGCCTCAGTCAGGAGTGGGGTGAGGAGGAAGAAAACCTCTCCAATGTGTGGGGTGGCCAGAGTGCAGAAGGAGCCAATGGGGTCCACTGCCTGTATCCACTGGGGGTGTAAGGGAAATGCAGGGAGCTCATGCCCTTAATGGTGCCCAGTGGCCCTGTCAATTGGGGGTGGAAGACCAGGCTTGGGAGCAAGGGAGATTTTTACACTGCCCCCTCCACCTTCAGCACAAGGGGCCCTCATCCACTGCTACATCTGCCTCAGATACTCTCCGTGCAACAGAGCTGCCCGGATTCCTGTTCTGTGGAGTATCTGTGCTGGTCCCTGGCGGGGTTTGGAGAGGGATCAGCACACAGAATGGCACACTTGGCATGGCCCCAGTTGGAGGGCAGTGTGCCACCCTGCTGGCCAGCTGTTTCCCTCTAGAGCCTTCGTGGGCAGGGGAGGGGCCACCAAGAGGACACAGCCCCAGAGGACCCCTGAGCAGCCCACCTGCCCCAGGTCCCGCTTTGCCCTGGCCCAGCCAGAGCTGGCTGCAGAGAGAGAGGGAGAGAAGGACACCGAGGCCTGGATGGACCCAGGCTGGGCCAGCAGAGTCAGAGAATTGGATCCAGGAGATCTGTAGGTCTGAGGCCACAGCCCCTGCTCCTTCCAGATGTGGAGCTGAGTTGGGAGTGTGGGGGAGGGAGAGAGACTGAATAGCCACCATTGACCCCACCATGCCCATCCCAAACCCAGATGGTACCAAGCCTCCAGGTCCCATAGAGTAGAGGGAGCTCGGGGTCTGGAAGGGGGACATTTCTCGCTTCCTGAGACCTCATAGTGTCAGGACAGACACGTTCACTGCCTCAGAATTCTAATCTCCCAGTCTCCTCCTTGTCCCCCTGCAGGACCGACTGCTGTACCCCACCCCATCTGAGTCCCAGTACTCCAGATGCCAATCACTGCCCCAGGGCCTCTCCAGACCACCACACAGCTGAGTCTCCATCCCAGCCCTCCTAGAACAATGAATTTGGAGGTGGACAGACAGGTCCCACTAGCCTGAAGAGAGGCTCCATGTCCCAGGTGCCACCTGTACCAGAGGCCTGGGGTAGCGTCTTCCCCAGGCAAGCAGAAGACACAGTCAGGCATGCAGGTAGCTTCCGTTCATAGGCACCAGGACGGACCTAAGGGGTGCTGTAGCAAACTGCCATTGAAATGGCATCTTCTGGACACGGTGTTTGTGTGTGTCCAGCTGGGCAGGAGCTCACCTGAGACATCAGACCCCATCTAAGCTAAGTCCCTGGAATACTCTTTCAGATCCCCTTTGAATTCTCCTCCCAGCACATCTTATAGGCTTTAATTCCTTTTTATTTGCAACTGTTTGCTCAATCTCCCTCCTCCCACCGAATGAAGGAAGGAAGGAAGGAAGGAAGGAAGGATGGGATGGAAACCTGCATTCCTGCCGCACCCTTACCCCTAGCACAGTCTGCAAGTGCTCTGAGCTTAGGACTCAAGACCAACCCCAGAGTGATCCCAAGGCAGAACCCAAGGGAGACTGCCCAGAGGAGGGCAGGGTGTGAGGGGGCTTCCAGCCTGGCCTCTGCTCTTCCTGCTCACCCTCTGTTTCTGGCCGGAACTCTGGAGGGCAGAGGTTATGTCTGGGCCATCGCCAGCACACCGCACCGCTGACTACCAGCTGTGACTCAGGAGGCATGAGCCTGTGCTCTTGGCCGGGGACCAGCAGATGCTACGCAATGTCCCTAACCACAGCGAGGAAGCAGCCGTGACCGCACTTACGCGCAGCCGAGCGGAGCCCCTCCCCCACCCAGCCAGTGGGGCAGTGACCTTACGCTGGGGTCAGTGACAGCAAGGACAGTCCTGTTCGGAGGCAGAGGCATGACCTCGATGACCCCGCTCCTCCTTGGGAATTGTTTGCACAACGCCATCCTCTTCCCCCGCAAGCAGCCCTGCCCCTGCAACCTCCGCGGCCCCGTGAGCTGTCGGGGGAGACGGGGAAGTGCCACAGGCAGCGCTGCATCTGTCTTTCCCCTCCATTTCAGCTCAGATGCTGGGGAAAGTGGCTCCCAGGGATGTGGCCACTGTGGCCGATGGCTGGCGCCAGCAGAAATCCCCAAGCCCGTCAGCAGACCCTGTCCAGACGCGTCTGCTGCCCTTGGCACTGAGACAGTGCTGGGAGACACCTGTGACCCGCCCCACCGCAGCCTGCCCCTCTCCTAGATTGGCCCCTCCTCGGCCTGGCCCAGTGCCGTTGCTCCCATCCAACCACGGTGAAGGCCTGGGAAAAGCAGCCTAGGCACCAGGCCCAGAGCCCAGCTGGGTGCTTGTAGGCAAATGACCCAGGCTCTCTAGGCCTCAGTTTCCCCAACTGTAAAATGGGGCTAAGACCAGCCACCTACCCGGTTGTTGTGAGAATAAGTAGGCACACAGCCCAGCTCTGCAGAGGACAGACAGCGGCCAAAGGCAGCCAGGCTTGGCACGATGCTGCCACCATTAACAGCTCAGGGAGCAAAGGCCAGTGTGGGGAGACTGAGGCCTCAGTGAAGGGACAGTACTAGAACTGCAGGAGGCAGAGAGCTGGCAAAGCTCCATGCACTCTCTCCCATTGCATCTCACAGGAGCAAAGGGGCCTTGTGACAGTCACTGCCTCCAGCATCCGTTCTTTCTTTCTTCTCCAAATTTTAACTGGAGGCCCAGAGAATAAAACGGTGTTACCCAGTTTCCTGTGCCGCTTGGGGTGTGTGTGTGTGTGTGTGTGTGTGTGTGTTAGTGGCTAAGTTCTGGCCAGTGGGATATGAGAGGTCTGTGTAGCTTCCAGGAAGTTCCTTCAAGGGAAGGGCCTTGCTCTTGAGGTTCTCTTCCTCCTTCCTGTGGCCTGGAGCTCCAGCCACCATACTGGGCAACAAGATGACCTCAGAAGTGGAGATCAAACCCTTCAGATCAATAAGATAGAAGGAACCTGGGTCCCTGATGACATGTAGTCATCAAATCATCTAGGTTTATTCCCAGAGGTCAAGTATGTGAGCAGAAAATGCACAGCTACTTTGTTCAACAGATAGTGGCCTCTGCTCTGGCAGACACCTCAAGACATGGGTGGCAGTGTGGGAGGGACGGATAGGTACCTGGAAACAAACAGCGGCCAGCAATGGGACATCCCTATCAGGAAAACGTCCTTCTACACACTCAGGGGGACCAGACGGAGCATGCTAGGAGGACTCAGCCCTAGAAGGAGCTGGGGATGGATGGAGGGAACAAAAGGGGGGAGGAAGGCAGGGGAGAAAAAAGGAAGGAAAGAAGGAAGGAAGGATAGATGGATGAATGGATGGATGTGTAAATGGATGGGTAGATGGATGGCTGCATAGGTTGAGGAAGGGAAGGAGGGGACAAGGAAGGATAGATAGGTTGACGCATGGGAGAAGGATGGAGGATGGGAAGACTGATGTCCCAGCCCTTGGGAACCCCAGAGACCAAATCACGCCCAGGGAGCACCACATCTCAACCCCACTTTGGCAGCCTGAGGGCATAGGATGGAGTCAGGGTGGGGAGCTGGCAGGGTCTGATGACTGAGGTATGACCTGCCATCCCCCTGTCCACGACCGTCCTGGAGGGACAGCTGTCATGTCAGGTCCTGGACACTGAGCCCCTCTGTTCAGCCAAGCCAGGCCAACACTGGGTCACATAGAGCTGGCACGAGGCCTGGCAGGATAGCGAAGGGACAGTCAGGCAATATCTATGTCATCTGCAGTAGCTTGAGATAATGCTCAGAAAATAAAAAAATAAAATAAAAAATAAAAGAGATAATGCTCAGGGATGCTCTTCCAGAAAGTCCTCAGAAAAAAAGCAGGTGTTATGATCAGGTCTAAAATGCCCCCCAAATCTGGGAGTAGGGGTACATGCCTGTAATCTCAGCAATCAGGAGGCTGAGGTAGGAAGATCTCCACAAGTTCAAGGCCACCATCAGCTACATAGCAAGTTCAAGGTCAGACTGGACTACATAGTGAGACCCTGTCTCGAGAAAGAAAGAAGGAAAGAAAGAAAGAAAGAAAGAAAGAAAGAAAGAAAGAAAGAAAGAAACAAAGAAAGTCCCCCAAAATCTCATGTGCTCACAGGTGGGGCTTTGGGAAGGGGATTAGGGACACCATACTCATCAGTAATCTACTGCTAAGTTCATAGCCGAATGTGCTGTTGGGAGGCACCAGGTAGGAGGAGACAGGTTGCTGGGGGTGTAACCCAGAAGGATGTATTCTTGTCCCAGGAGGTATTTTTTCTCCTCTCTCCTCTTGCTGCTTCCTGGCCACCATGACATGAGCAACTCCTCCCCACCAGGCCTTTCCACCAGGCCACTTCTGCCTTGGAGCCAGGAACTATGCTCTGAGTCCCCCAGAACCATGAACAACAATAAAGTGTCTCCTTTCAGCTTCAGATGTCAAGTGTTTTGTCCCAAGAGCAAGGAAGCTGACAGATGTAACGATGAGCAGGGACTTTAAGGGGCAGCCTAAGGGGCTGTGGATAGCTCCCTGGTGCAGGGAGGGAGAAGAAATGATCTTATGTTAAAGTCAGTGAGGCTTGGGGCATGAAGGGAGAATGCGGACAGCAGCTCCTGTGTGGAGGGAGCTGTGGGGAGAGGGACACAGGCTCAGTGACCGGGTCCTGAGCCTCCCTAGCACCAGCCACGGCTCTAGCTCTCTGCTCTGCAAAGCTGGACTCTGGGATGACTACGCATGTGGAATCCGGAAGAGAGAGGTGAGTTTGAAGCTGCTTTGGACCAGTTACCATACCTAACTTCTTGGTGCCTTTCTTTCTCTTTCTGTTTAAAAAAAAAAAAAACCAGAACTGGGCTCAGAGGGCTGCAGAAAGATTAATTCAGTGGATGCCAGCTTAGTGCCTGGCACCCAGGGCAAGTTTCATAAATACTCCCTAATGGGGCTGCTATTTTTCTCCTGCCTGGGCAAAGATTCGACTGAGAAGTCTCTGCGTTCTTTTCAAGTCTAGATTCCTTGATTCCACAAACCTGTGATTCATCAATTGGGATCGTGAGACCCAGGGAAGGGGGGACCTGCCTGCCCAGCTTTGCCCCATGGAGCCCTCACCCAGCACCTGGGCACAGCCCAGACTGCAACCACCTCATTTTATTTCCACAAGTGGTTTTTCCTTGCCTGTCATGTATCCCCAGCCCCATGGGTAGCTCATGGCCGCAGGTGGCAGCTGTTGCTGACCTCTGCCTTGCGTCCTTACCTGAGGGTGAGGTGGCACGAGGCCTCCAGCTGAGTCCTTCCTCACACCTTCAGTCCCCTGACACTGTCACATGCTGTGGAAGTTGGCAGAGCCACAAAGACCACAGATGCCAACACAAACACCATTCCTGTGGAGGGGGAAGAGCCCATAGGAGTTATTTTTAACCTGTGGATCAACGCCCACAGCTCTGGCCCCGGGGGCCTGGGGTGAGGGGCTCTGCAGGAAGGGAGGTGGAAGGCCGCATCTCAAGGACTCCCAAGGTCATAGGCCGCAGGGACCCCAGCCTTCCCTCACTTTGCTATAGAAGGGGCAAGGGAGACACAATGCTGGTTGTGCCTTATCTTGATCCCCACTTCCCACAGGGCCGGAGCCCAGTCAGGAAGAGTAGAGCTGCCATGAGCCAAGGGACTCTCAGCCTGAAGATGGGTCCTCTCTGGTTCCCACCTTGGGCAGCCAAGAAAACTGAGCCCTGAGACAGGGCCTGAGGTCACATCCATGGTCCATACCAGCCCCCTCCCCCTTGTCCACCTGTCCTCCCGGTGGACAAGGCGCACGTGGACGTTTTCAAGGCTGTCCTCACTCTGCCCTCTCCCAGGCCGCCCCCTGTAAGGGCTGAGCCCCTGCAACTGCACAGTGAGACACCCCCACCCAGGCCTGCCTCATCATGCAAGGCCTTCCTGGGTGCCCGGGCAGTGCCCCCTAGAGGCCAGCAGCAGCTGCAGCCAACGGCAGCCACGGCCAGCGCAGAGGTGGCTGGAGGCCCAGGCGAGGACGTGCGGGCTGGGGCGTGCCTGCGTGGGGGGAATAGGACCAGTTTCTGCCAAGGGCCTGCAGCCCACAGCTGCTGAGCCTGTGGGCACAGGGCTGGAGGGGGGGGCAGATAATGGACCCGGGGCCCTGTCCTGGCCTTGGCCCTGTGAGCTGTGCCGGCAGTGCCACCACGGGCCCTCACGTAGCCCACGTCCTGCCAGGCGAGTGGCCCTTATCAGTGGTACGTGCCAGGAGCCCACACTGCAGTGACAAAGGAGCTGGGGGCCTGGACAGGCAGCACCGGAGGGAAATGAGGCTTCCCCCACCCCAGCTCCCAAGGAGAGATCTGGGTGGTCCTGTGCACCCCTTGACAAGCCCCCATCCTCAGAGACACCCCAGCTCCATCTGGAAAAGCCCAACTCCGTGGAACCGATAGGCTGGGGTGCAGGAGAAGGAAGGGAGAGGCCACACTTCACTAGGGACACTGGGTTACCAGGTCCCAAGCACCAGGCTCTGTAACAGGAGGTCTTGTGCCATACCTGGAGAAATAGGCACAGGGGCTGAGTCAGTTACTCACAGCCACACAGCTGGTAGGGACAGAGTCGGGCTCCAAACCCAAGTGCGCTGCTCCAGAGCTCAGCTGCTCCCCAGAGGGTCACCCGGAATGAGACCAAGGAGACCCCATGGGGAGGACGTGGAGCCAGGCACAGAGGTCAGGGGAGGAGGGCACAGAGGGTTCCCCCAGTCCTGGGGGCAAGGCCAAGGGCTGAGCCCTGGCCCCTGGCATCTGTGGGACTTTGCCCAGGAGTGAAGCGGCCATGAGACACAGGCCAGACCTTGTCTCTCAGCCACACTAGGGAGGAGGGCACCTCGCTGGCTTCCTTCATCTGATGAGGATGACACAGTCCTGCCCTCTGAGACACAGCCCTCCCCTGTCAGATGAAGGGAAACCTAGTCCCTGCCTCAAAACACCCAGAATGATGGGGGAGATTCATTCCTGTCCTCAGACACAGCCCCATCCTCAGGGAGCCAACAGGTGTGCACACAGGGGAACACACAGCCCTGTTCTAGCTCTCGGGCTTGTCTGCTGCCCACCTGCCGGTGTCTCACCTCCCCCCAGCAGGGGAAGCCCCTCACTGGGGCCCTGGGCAAGGTCTTCCCCAGAAGCGTTCTGGGGACCTGGGAGACAGGAGTGGGGGCACCAGTGCCACCACATCTGGCCCAGAGTGCCTGGGCTCACAGCCCTGAGCAGCTGGGCCACATCTGGCCTCCAGACACCACGTCCCGGTCTGTGATTCACCCAGCCCCGTATGTCTGCTGGAGCAGCCTCAGCCCCACACACTCTCCCACACTCACAAAGGGCGGCTGGGGCCAGGGGAGAGCAGGACCTTCCTCCCCTGCAGCCCTCCTGTCACCTCAGCCTCGGCGGGGGGCGGGGGGGGGGTCCGGCCAGCCCTGAATCACCATGACTCGGTTTCCCCTGGACCTCACACTGAGGCATCACAGGTTCCCAGCAGGGCCAGGGAGCAGGCTGGGAAGCTGAGGGGCACTGGAAGGGAACTTCAGAGAACAGAGGATGGCGCCCAGGGAAAGAGACAGGAAGTAGGGCACACGGGGGATTTCCTGTCAAGCAGGAGTTCCCTGAGGACAGGGCTGTGACTGTATGGGGCTGAGAATCCTCCCTCAAACTGGGGCTCCCCCGGGACAGGTCCAGCTCTTCCCTCAGACTGAATCCCACGACAAAGGCTGTGTCTACCCATCAAACTGGGTCAGCATTGGACCTCCTCTGATATCTAACACAGATGACTCATCCACATCTTAGCATCATTTCGGGGTTTTCAGCTGGCTGTGGGTGGGGATCCCAATGAGGGACAATGTGCTCCCAGCCTGCTCCTCAGCACAGCCTGCTCCTGTCCACCCACTGCCCCTCTGGGTGGTCCCTCCCCCAGCCTCACCCCAGACACTCACGCTAAGTCACCCTGGGTGGCTGGGCAGTGTCCTGGACCGGCCTAGGCCTGGTGGCGGGGGTCCAGCAGAGAGCACAGGCATCTTCTAACTCGTGGGCCTGGCTGTCCTCAGTGGCAGCGTCTGCAGCCATTTGGCCTGGGTATCCATGGCAGCGGCCTGGGGAAGCCGAGCAGGTTGGGGGGCTGCGACCGTGAGCCCAGGTCCATACAGGAAATGGTTCTGACCCCAACTGGCTTTTCCTTATCCTATGCAACAGCCCCCAAAGAGAGAAAGGAGAGCCCTCCTACTCCACTGACTCAGGACACCCTTCCCTCTCTCTTGATCACCTTCCAGAACTAGGCTGTCCCCTCCTCTACCTCCACAGCACCCCTTTCCCCTTTCAGGAAAGAAAACGGAGCCAGTGAGGTCATCCCAGAAAAGAAGGACTTTGTGTGCTTGTGATGCTAGGGATGGAATCAGGGCCTTGGTCAGCCCAGGCAAGCGCTGACCATCAAGCCACACCTCCAGCCCCAGAAGGAAAAATGCTAGGGCCCCTCAGTTCCAGGAACAACTCCATGCCCAGCTGGTGGGCTCAGGTGAGTGCTCCATAGCTGAGGGCACCCTGAGATGTCAACCCTGCTGCACAGATAGGGAGACTGAGGCTGGGAGAGCCAGGCAGATCCTGCCCCACGTGACCCATCAGGTGCATGGTGTACACCACACTGCCTGAGTCAGGGTGGTCACTATCCTGAGTCCCTGAGGTCACGGGCTGGCCTCCGGCTTCACCTGAGGAGTTTGCAGAGTAGGGGACTGAATGGAGCAGTCTGACCACAGGGCCTGGGCTGGCCAGGGGGAATCCCATAGCCAGCAGGCTCAGTACCTCCTCCCCTCTGGGCTCTTCCTTGGCCACAAAGCCCCCTGCTTGGCCCCCCAGCAGCCCCAGACTCCTGGTACCTGGGCAAGGAGGGCATCCAGGAGCACAGGCAGCTGTGTACCAGACCAGAGTGGGCCCTGGAGAAGTCCCCAGAATCTGGGACAGGTACCCTCTCCTGTAGCTGGCAGAAGGGCACCAGAAGCCCATGTGCTATCCCTTGTCTCAGGACCCCAACTTGGCCAGCTTCTCCCCTTCCACACCCCACACTGACGTCATCTCTCTTTCAAGTACAGTCCTTGCTCCAGCCAGATGTACAAGCACAGACTTATGCCCAAGAAACTCATGTCCTCCTCACAGATCTCTGCTCAGCCTCCCCTCACCCCCTACGGCCCCCAGGAAGAACCCTGGCACTCCCAGGGGAGCCAGACGGTATAGGCCTCTAGGGGCCACAGAGGGGAACAATGATACAGCTTCCCCACTAAGCTGGCATGACTATCTTCCAGGAAGTCACCCAAACCACCCTCCTATCTGTGCCCAACAGCAGACTACACTGCCCTTCTGGGCGGCAAGTTCATTGGTCTGCTGCCTGTCACAGACAAGGACAGGCCTTCCTCCTATGAGACGCCAGGACAGTCTGCAGCCCAGCTCTGCAGGAAGCACTGGCCTGGAGCCCAGCCCTGGACTGCGGTTGCAGTCACAGGGAGGCACTCGCAAAACCCATGGCTTCGTCCCTCACTCCACTCCACATGCGGTTTGGTCCGGCATCTTCTTTTTAAATTGTGGTGAGATACCCAGAACACAAAGTTTTCTGTCTTAGTCATTCCTGAGCGTACAGCTCAGCGGTATCGAGCACTTTCCGATTGTTGCTCAACCCTCACCACTGCGCATCTCTTGCCCTCTTCATCTTGCAAAATTGCAACGCTATCCGCTAAACACTGCATCCCAGCAACAACCGTCTACTCTGTCCCCACGAACCCAACAACTCTACATGCCTCACAGTGGTGGACTCATCAAATATTCATCCTTCTGTGACTGGCTAGCACTGTCCTAAAGTTCACCCACACTGAGGCCTGTGTCAGAATTCCCTTTCTTTTTTGTGTTTTGTTTTGCTTTGTTTTTTGATTGATTCATTCTGTTTTTTTTGTCAGTGCTGGGGATTGAAACCAGGATCTTCTCCCTGAGCTATACCCCAAGTGATTTGTAAATTTTAAAACAGGGTCTTGGTAAGTTGCTAAATTGGCTCAAAGTTTTGATCCTCCTGCCTCAGCCTCCCAGAGTACCAGAACTACAGACATGCACCATCACTCCTAGCTGTGTTTTTGTTTTGTGCCACCACGCCCAGCTGGAATCTCCCTTCTTTTTAAGGCTGAATAATATTCCATAGTGTACATGGGCTATGTTCCCTACCCCACGATGGGAACTGAATCCAGGGTTTTGGACATGCTAAGCAAGCACTCTACCCTGAGTTAGGTCCTCAGCCCTGAGCAGCTTTTTGTTAACTGCTTTTTAAGAAAAGCAAAGTAATATAGCTCATGTCTGGTAAATCCCTGGAATTTTTGAATCAGAAGAGTGGACAGGTTTATGTGCCTTTCTGACACAGTGACACATTCCTCACCAGCACTTCTGAAGAGTGGGCGTGTAGCAAAATCACACACAAGGTTCTGCAACGTGCTGCCTGGCCCCGGCCCTGGTTCTTGACCCAAGTTCAGGGGGCACGAGAGACTGTGGGCTCTGTGGGATGCTGATGCTGCCAGGGAGTAAACCCTCTTGTCCCGAAATGTATCACCTGGGCTTTTCCACTTCGTTAGAAAAGCTCAAAGCAAAGCTCAAGTTCACGGCTCCAAGCCACCACGTACTCTGAGGATGGGATGCCTGTGACAATAACTAATTAGGCCCCATCAATGCCCTTGACATTGCTTCTAGGTTTTCAATTTTGCAAATAAAACTGCATTATGCACACTGGAGATACATATGCGGCCGCATCTGATGATCTCCTAGACACGAATCCTTGGGCTACCTGTGAGTCAGTTCTTCTCCTGTGCATTGCCAGCCCCTCCCTAGGCACAGCTATCTTCCCACCAGCTCTGAGGACGGCTGTGCCCACCCCGTGTGGGGACACCCTTTTAGTTGTTGGCAAAACTGAGGAGAAGAGAATCTTCCCATTTCTTTATTTGGATATCTCAGATTTTAACCAAGGGTGAGGATTTCCACCTGCTCATTAGCCATTTGTCACCCTTCCTGTCCATATGCTTGGCCCTGTTTTCTCTTGGTTTGCCTTTACTGTAAGAGCTCATCTGTCAAACTGTTGAGAATATTTTTTAGGCTATTACATTTTAACGTAGCCAATTTTCAAAATCCTTCCCTTTGTGATTCCTAGGTTTCATCATACATTCCCCAATCCAAGAATACATACTTTTAGATTTCGTTTCTTTCCTTTTTTTTTGCTAATGTTTTTTCTGGTAATTTTATGGTTTCCTTTTTACATTTATATCTTTGCTCCATCTGGAATTTATTTCAGAAACGGGGAACTAGCTTTTATTATTCTTTTTCCTAAACAGCTAGCCAGTTATCCAATTTGATGGAATCATTCATCTTTTCTCCTCTGATCTAAAATGTCACTTTAGCGTATATTCAATTTCCATTTGTTCGCAGTGTGTGTCTGGACTCGACTCTGTCCCTTTGATGTGTCTGCCTTTTCTTATGCCAGGGCCCGACTATTTTATGACCAGAGCTTAATACAACATTTTCACAGCGCCCGTCACCCCTCATAATACCTCGTTTTTAGAATTTTCCAAGCTCTTTCTGCATGTTTATTTCTCCAGATGAACTTTAATATAATTTGTCAAGTTCAAAAGATCTTCTTGTTTGCCATATCTTCTGACAGATGTGCTTTTTCTAGTCTCTCAGCTCAGTCTCTCCTGAGACTGCGGTAACAGGCCGAGGAGGAGGCCAAGGTAGGCTCATGGTCAGGATGGAGCACGCAAAAATGGTGTCAGTGAAAGTGACCACTAACAGAAGGGGAGATAATGAAGTGATACACTATAAAAAGTAGACACGGGAACTCTGAAAAATGTAGTCATGATGGAACAGGCCCTGGATTTTCACGGTTAGGTCCAGAGAGGTGGGGGACACTCGTAACCACAGCCCTGAGTCAGAGAGACTCATGTTCTGGAACCCCTGATTAACAAGGCTGGGAAGTGTGTAATATCCACTAGTAAGTCCTACCCCAAATATCTCTGTTTAAGGTTTCCTATATTAATGTCTGGAAAACTAGTATGAAATGGTTCATTCTTGGATGATGACATAAAGATGACATGTTACTGGTCTGTCTCCAGTTTTCTCAAAACCCACCTCCAGATTCCAAGGAGCCGCCAGCACTGAGATTTGAATTCACTCCGCTGGGAACAGAACTGCAGGTGGGCGGTGTTCCCAGCCCAAACAGTAAAAAGAAAGCTTGACCTCTCGCTGAGCATCTGCCCTGACACGTGAGCAAGCTGTCTGCAGATTCCACTTGAATCCCCAGAACCCCAGTGGTGAACACTGAGCTCCCATTATACAGGACACTGACACTGAGGGTCATACGACTTGGGCATGTCCAGGTTAGAGCGTGACAAAGAGCCCTGGGCCACTTTCACTGCCATGTGCCACTCCCAGCCCCTTCCACCACCAGGAATCCAAAAGGCAACCAATGCTACTCCCACAACACTTTGCAAGGCCCTGCCACCTGCATTGTGCAATGCCCACAGCTGGGGGAGGTCTCAGCCCATGCCCGTAAGTGGTATGTGCATCAGGGAGGTGGGGTGAGGTACCAACCTGAGCCACCTAGGGAAGGAAAGGGCAGCTTCTAGACCACCCACCGGCCAGCCTGAGATCAGGATTCAGGAAGTGGAGAGGGTGGGGACTCAGGAGATGCCCCCAGGACGAGGGCACTGCCTGGCACAGTCTCCCCAGTTATCCCAGAACACAGACTCTGTGTCTGACAAATCACCCTTTTGCCAGCGGTGCCAGGCTGGGTCCTGGACACCATAAGGAGCAGGAGCTGTACAGGTGACATACAGGAGGTGACATGGATAGGCACTCCCTTGGGAGTTCCCCCGCTCAGCGGAAACAGAGGTCAAAGCTCTCCTTTGTTTTCCCTTCCAGGCCCTTATAAGGGGCTTTGTGGGTACAGGGGAGGGAGTCTTCAGCTGACAGCTGGGCAAAGGTGAGGCTCCAGGTCGTGATCTCTGCGAGCCCTCTGTACGCCCCAACCCGAAGCTGGCTGACCCCGGGCAGCGCCCCAAGATGAAAAGAGGAGCGGCCCCGCCACGGAGCGCCTGCCACACGCGAAGTACCGAGCTCCGGGTTGGACGAAGGGGCTGGCAGCTGCGGGGCCGCCAAAGCAGCGCGCGTGGACGGCTCCCAGGCCCCGCGCGCCCTGTAGCTCGGCACG